ATTCCCCCGGAGGAGCTGGAGGAAGTGTCTGGAGAGAGGGAAGTCTGGGCATCTTTGCTTAGACTGCTGCCCCCGCGACCCAGTCCCGGATAAGCGCAGGAAAATGGATGGAGGGATGGATTTTATTATGCTTGTTTCTGCAATAACAGAGCTTAATGTCATTTTTCAGCAGAATGACTGTCAGGCAATCAAGGCAACTTGCCCCTAAAGTAGAGGGAAAAACTGGAAACAAAAGCAGAACCCATGGTAATGACTGCAGTTGTACTGTAGGTCATTACATTCCTGTGGTGGAAAACAGGGCCATGTCTACTTATCGTAAATGTGTACACACACATTCACACTCACCAAAGAAGGGACCATGTGATGCATAGAGTATGTCAGAGGTTTTTATTGGCCTGGACCATGAGTTAATAAGTCGTCTTCACTGCTACAACATTTATACCAGGCTGTCTAATTTAGAGATAATAATGTGCTTAATTTGTTCTGTAAGAGGGGTAAATGCTGCATGTGTTAGTTTCTCCAGGGTGTGTGTGGTTTCCAAAGCTGTACTGTAAAGATGAGGTCATGCTGTGCAATTCTTTAGTTTCATTTGGTGGTGCTAAAAATCTTACCTTCTCTTTTAGATTTGTCCATCACTGCTGATTTCTTTTTGAGGTTTCAGAACCATTAAGCTCTGAAAGGGCCAACACACTTCAATTAGTTATACTTTCTTCAAACCACAGTGACTCATTGGCACCAGGGCTTTTGTTTTTAATAGTTTTAACAGACAAAGAGAAAAAACAAAGACATGAAACAAAAGGGGAATTCTATTTGTCATTATTGATAAAAGGCCAGAAAAAATGCTTCTCCCAAAGGTTATATTCCCCTGCACTTTTCATTTAACAGAATAGCCATTCTATTAATAATAATAGGAAAATAGCAACTCAGCTATAGCACTAGCAACTCTGTGTCTAGATTTAATTCTGTGCAGGCTGTTGGACAAACCACAGTCTTGACTGCTCACAGTGGTTTGCTGTCTGATAAGTCTGTTGTCTCTGTAAATACAGCATGAACAAGGGGATAAATATCCCAGGAAATGTGGGCTGAGGGAATTTTAGTGGCAGATGGACCACCTCTACTTCAGTGTCTTTGGTGTTAGCAAATGTTTTTTCCAGGACTAAAATCCCAGAGGAAGAATGTACAGTATCATTACAGAGGACAGGCTTTTCTCTAGTATCATTACTGGATTATATTTTCAAAAGAAGAACGCCATAAATAAGAGAATACCTCAAATGTACAAGTCTTAAATTATAATCCACATATTTGCATTAAAATTTATTTTTGTTTTACTACATAACTCCTTTAACCGAGGGGGGTGTATTCATCTATTTTCCCACAATTTACTGTGCTTTCTGCAAACTCTTTAATTCCTTATAGCTTGTTTCACCAGGTTGTTAAAAACACAAACTATGAGCCATGGTTTCTAATTCTCTGTCATCT